TGACCAACTCCACCAATCTTTCAAACCGATCTGCCAGCACCGTTTCCGCCAGGGTGTCAAACTCAGTGCCCTGTTGCAGAATTTTGGTGAGGACCTCCATAAATGTAGCTCTTGTCTGGAGGTCTTTGTGATATCCTAGCCCTACCAACAATGAAAGGTAAAGAGTTTAGGTACAGTTTTGCATTTCCGAAGTCCACAATATAAAGGAGAAGCTCATCCATTTTACCTATAGAGTGCATAAGGCCGCTATCCACGTTCGCGTTGAGCAAGTTTGACATAGCCAGAACGGTGCAGTGCCGCAAGGAAGCCAATCTTCGAGACATTCCACGTTTCCGGCCGCCTGTTTGTGCACTCTCATCTTCCACTTCACTGCAGTCATTAAGGAGGTTCATAAACAGGGTGAAGTACCTAAATGTGTATATATATAAAAAAGTTTGCATCTCTCCAGGAAGATCTTCTTATACTCAATAAACGTGGTCTCTTTCACCCAATCTCAAACATTTTATCTGCATTTATTCCTGCCTCCAGAAGCGGTGAATGCTCCAACACTGGAAGTTTTTAAGAAGAGACTGGACAGCCATTTGTCCGAAATGGTATAGGGTTTCCTGCCTGAGCAGGGGGCTGGACTAGATGACCTCCAAGGTCCCTTCCAACTTTTTTATTATTATTATTATTATTACTATTAAAACAGATGCCTTTCTGCATGACATATTCAGCGTTCAGACATTTTTCACCAAGTTCATTTGCAGGAGATAAAAGTTCAGTGGACATAAAAAGGCTAGCTTTTTATTGTTATTTTTCTTCTTCAGTTCTTTCTGGATGAGAAATGTTTTCAAAGAAAACACCAAGAAAGTCTAGGTGCCTTTTGAAAAAAGGATCTTTGCGATAACCATGATCTGATTGAGAATCTCCATAGACCAGGCAACCTTGGCTCTTTTATGACTCGTGGACTTCAACTCCCAGAATTCCTGAGACAGCCATGCTGAGGGCAAAGGGAAAAGTTTTCAAGCTGAGCTATGTTGGCTCAGGAATTCTGGGAGTTGAAGTCCACGAGTCATAAAAGAGCCAAGGTTCTCTACCCCTGCCATAGACATTTCAGTTTGTTTTTCAATTGAATTGTGAAGCTTATATGTTATATTAAGGGTGTAAAAAAATTCTGAAGTTATTTATCTT